ATGAAGTGACTGACTAATCAGCTTCTTTTTCAGAGACTCTGGTCCAAAGACTATAACTTCTGTTTTGGAGAACGTTAGTTAGGGAGCTCATTACCTAATTTTAGCCTCATTACACTGGCTTCCTGTACATTTTAGGATTCATTTTAAAGTTCTTTCACTTGTTTCTAAGTCTCTCCATGGTCGTGCTAACCCCCCCCCAACAACCTTCCATTGCAAATTCAATGGTCTACTCCTTCGTCCGATTTTAAACCGCTCTTAAAAACTAATCTCTTTGCCGTGGCTTTTTAAACTGTGAGATGTTGATTTTAGTCTGTGATACATTATTTTAAATTACTCTTATTTTTATTTTATTATAGATTTTATAGGTCTGATTTTAATTTAGTCTTTTATGCTTGTATGTTGTTGTTTTATCTGAGTAATGGTGTTATGTTGTTTCACTGTCTAGAACTCTGGTCCTTTGAGACATTTTAAAGTGCTTTATAAATAAAGTTGGATTGAATTAAAGAGACTTTAGTTGAAAATAAAACTTTTCCACTTGAGGCGTTCTGGATAGAGCAGATTGACAGAAAAAGATGATCTTAAATGCAAAATGTATATATATTTTTTAACAATTTTGCTATTTTTACAGTCTCTATTATCCAGTTAATGATTAATTGATTAAAAAATTAGTTGACGCTTATTTTAATACTGGATTAATCATGATTAATTGTTGCAAACCTGCAATAAATAAAACCCTCCATGCAGGAAGACCCTGAGGCGGGAATCACACCCAGGATCTTCTTGCTGCTAGGCAACAGTGCTTCAAATCGCACCATTCAGCATTAAATGATTAAGAAAATCAATAAAAAATTCAAAATGAAATCAATAATAATATCTTATAAGAACTGAAGAGGTAAAAACCTCTCTGCATTCCTAGGAGTCTCCAGTCTGTGACACTCTATTAAAATAAAACCACAGATGAGATTAGCTCGTTTCCTTCCTGTCCAGTTGGATGCAGTTTTCCGTTCTGTGTTTCCCGCAGGGAAGGTGATCGCCTTGGACACCTCGGTGGTTCTGAACCAGTTCCGAGCGGCGACCCCCTCCCTGAGGTGAGCCATCTTTGACTCCCACCGATCCGTTCTGTAATCCAGATGTAGAAACAGCTGTGGTTCCTTTCTGCAGCCCTCTGACCGGACTCTTCTTCCGCACGTTGACCTTCCTGGAACACGACATAAAGCCGGTGTTTGTGTTGGATGGAACGCCTCCCGTGGAAAAGACACCTGTTGTGAGACACGTTTTCCATCTTTGTGGGAGCATTTATGGTCTGACATCATCAAACGGAGAATTGGTGTGGTAGAAACAGCAGAATGAGGATTCCTTTTGGTCTGCAGCTGGAGCGGCGAGCCGAGGCAGCTGGATGGAGCCCCCCCAGCAGAACAGGAAAGGGTACGACAGCGCAGGAAGTTTCATCCTCGCCTTTAAAAGCTCCAAAGTTGCGACGCTGCCTCTGAGTTTTTATCCATGCTTGTTTTGACGCAGCATCGCAGCAAATAAAGGATTCTGTTGAGCTCCTGAAGCACATGGGTGTTCCTGTTATCCAGGTAGAACTTGGTTATTGTCCACATTCGATTTGTTTGATTTTTAAAATTTAATGTAAACATAATATACATTATATATTTATTTATTTGTTTGTTTTTTAGGCTCCAGGGGACGCTGAGAAAACCTGCGCACGGCTGGTGAGGGACGGGGTTGTGGACGCAGTGGCCTCAGAAGACATGGACACGCTGCCCTTTGGAGCTGATGTTCTCATTCGGCAGCTGAACGCTAAGAGGGACAGGTATGGAGTGAAATCTGATCCATTATTGTTGCAGTTAAAACACGTTCTGCCACTTAAAATGTGGGGGAAAAAAATCCAATCCTGAACTGAAACTGGAAAAAAACGTTTTAATCAAGAAAAGTTTTAAGAGTTTTACTCTATTATCAGAACCTCTTTTTGGAATTTATTTCTGTTAAAATAAATTTTTTGCTTTTTATATTTTCACGTTATTTTTTTCACACTTTACCTATAGTTTTTTTTTTTATTTTACAAAGTAATCATTTTCAATTTATTTTTATATTTTAAAATGTATTTTTTATTCATTTTTTTACAAAATCATCATTTTGATTACATTTTTTTGTTTTTATATTTTTAAATATATTTTGTTCAAAATTTTAATTTAGTTTTTCTTTTACAAAATCATCATTTTTGAATACTTTTTTTGTTTTTATATTTTTAAATATATTTTTTTCAAAATTTTAATTTAGTTTGTCTTTTACAAAATTATTATTTTGAATTTATTTTCTTTGTATTTCAAAATGTCTTTTTTATTTTTTAATTCTTACAAACTTCTGATTTTAAATGTATTTTTTTGTATTTTTTGTAAATGTATTTTAAAATCCATTTCTTTTTTCAAAATTTTCATTGTTTTTTTTTTTACAAAATTATAATTTTGAATAAATGTTTTAGTTTTTTATATTTTTAAATATATTTTGTTAAAAATTTTCATTTTGTTTTTTTTTTTACAAAATCATCGTTTTGAATTTTTTTTTTTTTTTTTATTTATGTTTTAGTTTTTTATATTTTTAAATATATTTTGTTAAAAATTTTCATTTTGTTTTTTTTAACAAAATACTCGTTTTGAATTTATTTTTTTTATATTTTTAAATATATTATTTATTAATTTATGTTTTAGTTTTTTATATTTTTAAATATATTTTGTTAAAAATTTTCATTTTGTTTTTTTTAACAAAATTATCATTTTGAATTAATTTTTTTTATATTTTTATTTTTTTTATTTATTAATTTATGTTTTAGTTTTTTATATTTTTAAATATATTTTGTTAAAAATTTTCATTTTGTTTTT